CCAGACTTCCTCTCACCTATTTTGGTCATGTTGTCAGAAGGGACCATTCCCTGGAGAAGGATGTCTTGCTTGGTAGGGTGGAAGGTCGACGAAAGAGGAGGAGGCCTTCAATGAGATGGATTGACACGGTGGCTGTGATGATGGGCTCAAGTATAGCAGGGATCATGGAGCTGGCACGGGATCGGGCAGTGTTTCATTCTGCTGTGCATGGGGTCGCTATGAGTCGGAGACGACTCGATGGCACCTAACAACAACAACAACAACAACAGATACTAAGACAATGGACATTTGTTTCCTTTTTCCAGTTTGGGAGTTTTCTTGTGACTATTCTTATATAGGTTTTGTTTTTGTGGACCTGTTTCGTTTCTCTTGAGTAAATACCTAGATGTGGAATTGTTGCATCATGTGGTAAATTTTTATTTAGCTTTAGAAGATGCTACTAAACAGTTTTCCAAAGTGGTTGAGGAAATAAGTACTCTTACTTTAAGCTATATTGCCAGTTACTTTATAAAAGGCTTCAGTTCCCATTTCTACAGGTGTTATGTGAGCATCTCTTTAGAAAAGGGGCACTCTGCCAGAAAAAAAGTATTTCTCTTTATTTTTTGCCACTTAGGTGGGGCTAAAGTGAAATCTCATCTGTTACTTTAATTTTCAGTTCCCTGATTGCTAAGGATGGTGTTGTTGCTGTTTTTTTCCTTTAAATTTTACTTATTTTGTTATTGTTGAGGATATATACAGAAATACACCAATTCAGTGGTTTCCTACACGTACAGCTTAGAGACATTAATTACATTCTTCACGTTGTGCAACCATTCTCACTCCACTTTTTTTTAGTAGTTCTGCCACCATTATCATAAACTCACTGCTCCCTAAAGCTCCTATATAATCTTTTAAGTTACTGTTGTCAGTTTGATCCCATATAGATAGTTCTTAAAGGAGTATAATGCTGAAGCTGAACCTCTTCTTTTTTCCTAGTTAAGTTAAACTGTTAATCGGTTTTGAGAAGACTTCAGGGGGTATTTTTGGTTTAAGGTTTAAAGATTATCTCAGGACAGTAGTTTCAGGGGTTCATCCACCATTCATGGCTATAGGAAGTCTAGAGTCCATGAGAATTTGAGATTATGTTCTCTACTTTCCCATTGTGATCGAGATTCTTATATGGCAACTTTGATCAAAATCTTCAGTTATGGTAGCCAGACATGTCCATTTCTTTTGGTCTTATGGCAAACAGGCAGCTGTTGATGGAGGCAATTAGCCCCACATCTCATAGCCTCCTCCTATTCCTGACTTTCCTTCCTCTGTCATTCCAGATGAATAGAGACCAATTGTGCTTTGGATGACCACTTGCAAATGCTATTAAAAAAAAACAAAAAACAAAAAACAAAAAAAAACCTCCCAGATGATTCTAATATGCAGCTAGGGTTGAGAATCATAGCATTGGCTGATGACCTAAGGAAGAAGAGGATCTGCAAACTTCAGATAATAGTCTCAAGAAGGAAGGATAAAGTTTTTATTTAGGATTGGGTAGTGTTCTGGTTACCTAGTACCGCTCTGACAAGAATATACCACAAATAGGATGGCTTAAACAAACAGGAGTTTATTTTTGCAATTTGGAGGCTTTATGTCCTAGTTCAAAGTGCCAGGCTCTAGGGGCTGGGTGAAAGCCCCTCAGCCTTGGGCTTCAGCTCTGCCTCCAACTCCTGGCCCTATGAAGCTAGAGGCTTTTCTTCACTTAGGCAGCTGTTGCCTGCTGAGGCTGCCAAGCCCAAGTTTGACAAGTAAAAAGGCACAGTCCTGATGTTACCAAACCACATGGCAGGCCATTAATTTAAGTCCATTGTAAGTCCCCAGGTCAGCAGAGCATGGCAGGCTTCTGAATAATGACACAGCTACGTGCAGGGTCCAAGCATGCCATAAGCTAGAGACCATTCCCAAAGCTTCTGCTTATATACAGGAAGCAGACCACATACCCAAAGGCAGCTACTCAGATGCTCCCAGTAGATTCCACCATGGAGTTGATTACCAGTCTCATCATGGGGAATACTACCTCCAGCTGCCCAGCCACTCAGTCAGGCCCAGCCAAGTTGACCCACAAACTTAACCACCACAGGTAGACTTGAACAGGTTTGTAGATAGGTTAAAGATACTGAAGAGAAGTTAGAATAAGTGTTTAGAAATATTGGGCAGAGAGAGGATCAAGAACTGAGGTGCAGGGATTAGATTTGACAAGGATCAGAAGCAGAGTAAGAAGGGACACAAAGTCCATAACGGCCCGGAGTTATTTTGTATAGAGCCTGAGGGCTTGCCTGTATCAGGTGGGCCTAGTAATGGGTATTCAGTATCATTTGTGTAATGATTAAATTTTCAAATAGTCTCATGTTTAAAGGGATCAGTTCTTACTCATATAATCCTTTTTCAGAAAAGGAAGTTCTGGAAAATATTGCCATCTGGCCTCACCCCAAAATTTCCAAGTAGCTAAGGTTTTGTATACTTGCATATCCAGCGTTGCATGAATAATGAAGCCATGTGTGTGCAGTCCACACAGGTCTGGTATGTTGCTTAACTGAACATCTTGTATCGATAATGGACCTGTGGGAAGAGAGTACTTTGTAAGAAGACACTTAATATTACCTGAGGGATGTCAAATCCTGGGGCTAAGATTTTAAATCTTGCACAGGTACAAGAAATAGAAATTGCAGTGTAAAATGTTAAAAAAAAAAAAAAAAGGAAGCGCTGGTTTGTGCAGACACACATTCAGCTGAGGTTGGAGTCCACCCCGAGGCACCTCAGAAGGAATGGCCTGGTGATCTACTTCCAGAAAACTCGCCATTGAAAACCTTATGGAGCACAGATTGACTCTGACACACATGGGGTCACCATGAGGCAGAACAGACTTGGTGGCAGTGGGTTAAGAGCTATTGTTAAATATGGACGAGGGGAAATGAGAAAGGCTGTGATCCCTAAGAGAAAAGAACTCCCACCTGCCTCGACACTTTCTAGTGAAATCTCAGCAGAATGGCCACGGTTATTTTCCTTTAGAAGATGAGCATTCAGCACAGATATTAACAGCAGAATGTATCTTCAAAAATGTGAGACAATAAAACAAAGATTCTAAGGGAAACAACCTGTGCCTTTGTGTGTGAGGTTATAGATTTAGGTGAGTGTGCGTTGTGGAGATAACTGTACTGTGGACAATCTAGAAAGAGTAGAAACCAAGTGGGGGTGGATTGACAGAATTTAGGGATCCAGTGAAGTATTCCTAGTTCTAATTCTTTGTACCAGAGGCATATTTTATACTAAAATCTAAGCACTAGCATCTGATATAACAACATATTTCGTTCATTGTGGTTTAAGGTCAAAGAAGAAAAAAAAGTTATAAAATCTATGGAATTCTAGAAGAGGTAAAATTAATCTATGTTGTTGTTGTTATGTGCTGTCAAGTCGGACCGGACTCATAGTGACCCCTCCTTGGGTTTCTGAGGTGGTATCACTACGGAAGTAGATTGGCCAACCTTCCTTCCGAGGAGTGGCTGGTGGGTTTGAAGCACCAGCCTTCTGGTTAGCAGTAAAATGCCTTAGCCACTATGCTACCAGATAGTGGTAAAAAAATCAGAATAATGGATCTCTCTAGGAGGGTAGGGGCAGAGACTTTTGGGGAAAGGGTATGAAGTAACTTTCTTGGGTGATGGTAATATTCTGTATGTTGATAAGGGTTTGGGTTACACAGCTGTATGTATGCTCAAAATTCTTCAAAAAGATTTTTGTGTGTATATATATATATATATATGTACATTTTACCTTGAAAGAAAGAGAGACTTTAACAAAATAGAAAAAAGTTATATAATCTAGTAGTGGCATGTTTTTTTCTTAGCCTTCTGGTCAATTTGTATTATAATGAACCAATTTTTTCCTAATTTGGAAAAATACCGTGAATTTTATTACTATAATTAGAGGCTAAGAATTTTAATTCAGTAATAAAATTTTTTCTAATTCAATAATAAAAAGGTATCCAAGAAGTGTAGCCTACCTTTTTAGCCAGAATTAGAGTAGCCAACTTCAACAGTTCAAGCCTCAGAGTAGGTCAATAATGAATGCCTGCTCCCAAATTACAGATCTTCTCAGGCTGGAGATGTTCCTGAAATCAAGTGTGACTTATTTTCACAACCCGACTCTAGGAAAATTTAGAAAAATAACCAAAAGTTTCCACAGCATCTCACTAAAAATATATGAGGCTGATATCATCACTTTAAATAAAAGAAACTTCTAGAATCTATGACCACATTGACATGTGAAATAAGAGGTCTCTTTAAGCCAACAGGGTCTAGGGATCCTGTTCACAAACTCTAACTTGTGCACATGGTAGAGTTGAACTTCCCCGCCCTCTTGGAGTCAGGTGGGGTCATGTGGTTTGCTTTGGCAAAGAAATGTGTCATTTTCTAGGAGGAAGCTTTAAGCTATGGTTGCCAGATTTAGCAAATAAAGTACAGGATGCCCAGTTAAATTTGAATGTCAGATAAACAGTGATAATTTTTTTTTAGTATAAACATCTCATACAATATTGTAACATACTTATATATTCTAAAAAATTATTTGTTGTTTATCTGAATTTAGATTTAACTGGGTGTCCTGTATTTTATCTGGCAACCCTTCTTTAAGTGCCAGTGTGCAATTCATCAGTGCTGTCTCTCTCTCTGGCATGGCGATCATCGGTCGTCAAGATGGTGGATGCTCCATCAACCTGGGTGCCTCAGGTAATGTGATGAGCAGAGCTCCTTGCTGACCTGCAGCGGACACGTAACATGACCTGTCTTTTGTTGGTCATTGAGATTTGGGGGTTGGTTGTTACCTACCACAGTATATCTTAGCCTGTCCTGACTGATACAGATACTGCCTGACCTGGCACCTTGCCCTATCTTATTCTGTAGGATCTGGACTGCATGGTGCAGCCTGGGTATTTTTCCTTAATAATCAAACTATGATTCTTCCTTTTTCCCCTTAAGGTGGATTTAGGTGAAGGCAAGATTTGCTTCTGTTGTGAAGAATTCCAACCAGCCAAATGCACAGACAAAGAAAATGCTTTGAAACTCTTCCCAGTTCAGCCTTGTAGTGCTGTTCACCTTCTACTTAAGGTACTTTAAGTGGATTCCAGCCCCCACCAACAAAAACACCACAGAGCTCCAGAGAAGGCAATGTTGTTTGAAATGCTTTTACTCTGTTACCTCCCTCAAATAATTAAGCTGCTGAAAGCAAGTATGAGCGACCCCTCATTGGTGACACACAGGCAGAATTGGGTGTAGAAAGACCTGTAGATTATTGTGTGTCCCTTAAATTGTGAATGGACAACTTTCTCTGTGTACAAGAATTGTAAGATAGTAAAAAAAGTAAAGGAGCCAAAGTAAGGCCTGAGGGCAAGTGGTAGATGATAAGTCTTGAATTAGTTAGTACACACACATACATATCACATATGTATACATATATGCATACATATCATATATGTATACAGTCCCTGGGTTGTTGTTGTTGTTATGTGCCGTTGAGTTGGACCCAACTCATAGCGACCCTCCTTGGGTTTCCAAGGCGGTATCACTACAGAAGTAGATTGCCCCATCTTCCTTCCAAGGAGTGACTGGTGGGTTTGAACTGCCAGCCTTCTGGTTAGCAATCAAGTGCCTTAGGCCCTATGCTACCAGAGCTCCCAGTCCCTGGGTAGTGCAAACAATTTATGAACTCATCTGCTATCTGTAAGTGTCTCAGGAGCTCTGGTAGTGTAGTGCCTAAAGACACTTGACTGCTAACCAGAAGGCTGGCGGTTCAAACCCACTAGCCACTCCTCGGAAGGAAGATGGGGCAATCCACTTCTGTAGTGATACTGCCTCAGAAACCCAAGGAGGGGTCGCTATGAGTCGGGTCCGACTCAACGGCACATGATGACAACAACAACAAAAGTGTCTCAGAAGAAAGACCTGATGATCAACTTCTAAAAAGTCAGACACTGAAAACCCTGTGGAACACAGTTCCACTCTGATGAACATGGGGTAGCATGAGTTGGAATCAATTCTATACAACTGAGTATATGAATACATATACGTCCCCCAGAATCCATTGCTATTAAGTTCATTCTGACTTGTAGTGACCCTTTAGAACAGAGTAGTACTGCCCCATAGGGTTTCCAAGGCTGTAACATTTTACAGATGCAATACGCCACATCTTTCTCCTGTGGAGCTGCTGGGTTTGAACCACTGACTTTTTGGTTATCAGCCTAATGCTGAATCACTGTACCCTGGGGCTCTTTATGCATTGTCATAAAAGAAAATGTATATGAACTATATGAACTGTTGAATAGAAAACAAATTTGCTCTGTAAACTTTCAGCAAAATCATAATAAAAATTTAAAAAGAATGTATCATATACATATATAATATGATGTAACTTTTAGCAAAACCTGTAAGTTGCATGTTCATTTGTCATTGTTCTCATGCTCATCTGTTAGCTTATATCAGTCCTAGGGGCTGCTGAATGCTGGTGTTTCATGACACATACGTTAAGAAGAGGTATCAGCTAGAAAATACAAGAGAAATTCAAGCACTTTATCTCTTGTTAAATAGGCAATGACTGTAATCAGCAAAAGAGAGAAAACAAAACTAAACAGAATCCCAAATGGTTCAAGTTGGAGAATTTTTCTAGTCTGAATTAAGGAATTGTATAAAAATTGCTTACTGACTGAAGGAATATTAGCCCAGTGACACAATCAATTGATGAACCCAAAGGTCTTAGCTTTTGGTCAGTCAACCGCTGGTGGCTTTCTTTAGATGGTTGTTTTAGGTTTGTTTTTGTGCAGAGGAGGAATCTCTAAGAAAAGAGAGAACTCTTCAACGCTGTCCGTTCTCTGAGTTATGTAGGGTGTAAAAATGGTCTTCTTCATTTGGTCTCCGGATTTTTGGTAGCTGAGTCACCCCTACACTTTCTGAGCCAGGACTTAGCTTGGGGAAAGCCCCACTAAGGAGCCAGGGCTGTGGCAACAGAGCCTTTGGAATTGCCGCTGCCACTATTTTAAGATGGAGCTCTGGTAGCATAGTGGCTAAGATACTTGCCTGCTAACCAGACGGCTGGCGGTTCAAACCCACCAGCCACTCCTTGGAAGCAAGGTTGGGCAATCCTACTTCTGTAGTGATACTGTCTTGGAAACCCAAGGAGGGGTCGCTATGAGTCGGGGCCGACTCGACAGCACATAACAACAACAACAACAGTCAGAGCAGAGAAGCCCTGTTTTCCCTCCGGCTGGCCTGCGCACTGCAGCGTCCTAGTTGAGTGTCTTGGGCAGCACTGCCAGTGGCTCCTGAAATAGAATCTGTGGCCACAAATAAAGCAGCATGCTGTCCTGGCGAGAGGTGGGGGGAGGAGAAAGCTGGTAATGGCTTGGAAAAGCTGTGGACACCGACTACAGAAGAGAAACTCATTGCTGTCAGGGAGGCCATGTTCCCAGACAGTATTCTGAAGCTTGCAAAAAAGAAATACTGTCATTCCAGATCTTTGTGGGATAGTGTCTTACTTACCTACAGGAATACAAGTGGGTGGCTATAAAGAACAGAAATTTATTTTCTTACAGTTCTGGAGGCTGAAAGGCCAGATTAGAAACTCAGCCCTGTCCATTGCTTCCTTGTAGGTAGTTCTGGGCAATCCTTGGTTCCTTGGTTTGTAGATGATCCTGACATGGTGTCCATCTTCTCCTGTGTGTGTGTGTGTCTAATAGATTCTTTTTATAACTCAGAAGTGGTTAGATCTAGAACCCACCCTACCTGGGTATGATGTAATTAACATGACAAAGAAAGCCCTATTTCAAATAGGATCACATGCACACCTATAGTAATTAGGATTCTAATACACCTATAGGGATTAGAATTCCAACACGTATTTGGAATGGAAGGGACATAATATAATCTGTAATTAGAAGCTTCTAAAATATTTAAAAGTTAAGTACATACTATTGCATGAGGCTTATGATAATAACCAGCACTTATTTTAGTATACATTATAAACCAAATACCGTGTAAGTCTTTTACATGTATTATCTCATGAAATTTGTCTTATTAGGACAAAATTGTTATTTAAAAATACTTGCATTGCTTTATGGTTATACCGAAGTACGGAGCAACTATGGTGATGTCCTTATTTCCTCGCTCTAGAAAGTCCTCTTTGCCCTGTGTGCCTTGAATGCCCTGACCACCACTGTCTGCTTGGTGGCAGCTGCCCTCCGCTACCTCCAGATATTTGCAACCAGAAGATCCTGTGTCGTAAGTTTGTTGGAAAGTGGCATCCTAATGGGATTTTGCACTGAGCCAGCCCACGGACCTTGTGGGAACCCATTGCTTTTCTCACCATGCCTTTAGAGTGAAGGCTGTTCACTAACCAGGTGCTGTTTAATTAGGATGAATCCCAGATTTCTGCTGAGGAAGTGGAAGAACATGGACGTATCCCAGACCCTGATGACTTTGTGCCACCGGTGCCTCCGCCTTCTTACTTTGCCACATTTTACTCGTGCACACCCCGGATGAACCGCAGGTATTGCTCCTAAGTACCCCCAGTCCTGTGGGGGTCAGTATGAAGACCCAGGGTCTCCAGAACTATCACAGTATGACCTCTGACTTCTCTCCAAAGTCTAGAAAGGCTGTTACTTTTCAGGGCTTTCTATTTTCGGTTTTTTTTTTTTTTTTGTCTGATAAACTGGATGAAACCAAAGAAAACTCAATCTTTGACCTAAGAATATATTTTCTCAGTGTCTCTTACCTTTTCCTAAAGGAAAACTGACACCCACTGAGATAACAGCTGTAACTTGACTTGATTGAGAGCTGCTGTTGCCATGGAAACTCTCCCCACTCAAACCCAAATGCACTGCTGTGGAGTTGATTCTGACTCATAGCCACTCTATAGGGCAGGGTAGAACTGCCCCATAGAGTTTCCAAGGTTGTAAATCTTATGTAAGCAGACTGTCACAGACTGTCAAACTACAGACCTTTTAGTTAGCAGCCAAGTGTTTAACCACTGTGCCACCAGGGATCCTTTGGAAATCCTCCCAGTTAGGGTCAAATCAAAGTTTCATTATAGCATCCCCAGCAGGTCACGACAATCATGAAATTCATTCCAGCCATTAAAAAAAAGATAATTAATTGCATCTCCCATGTCTGGACAAAATAGACACTATGCTTATTTCTCTTTTTGAATTCTAGCTCAAAGTGTGACTGTCTGTTTCTGAAGTCTCAAGAATTAATACTGGTAGCATAAAATGTCCTGTATGCTTTGTATAAGTTAGTCTGGTTGTTAGCTACTTCTAAGATTGTATCTTTCTAGGGAATTATTTTATTTATCCATTCAACAAATATTTAATCAAGCCTTTGCCCCATACTAGTCAGTATGCTGGATTATTGAAATTAAAAATTAGTTAGTCTTGCCTCCTATCCCCCAAATCAAAGTGCTCACAGGATCATTAAGATGAATGTTGGAAGAATCACAATAATACTTGACAGATTTTGGGTTCACAGAGGAAGACCACCTAGTCTTGAGTAGTGAATAGGCTGTGGAGAGCTTGAAGGAGGGTCAGCCAGTCAAGGATGGCTTCCTGGAAGAAGTGACCTTAAGCTGAATTTAAAGGACAAGTAAATCTATATTTAAGGTCCTAAAATGAAATCTCTGAATTCCAAGAAAGGCTAGTATCTCTATCTTGATTTTTAGAGGGCCAAAAATTTGTTTTTTAATCCCTGTAGTAGACATGGAGAGTTGTAAAGAAAGTTTATGCCAGGTTTGTGGTTTTTGAGAAGCTACTTTCTAATGCTCAGAGAGGCCTTATTTGACTTTAACATAGGTCTGGGGTAGGGACACTACCACCTAGACTCTGTTAATGTTCTTCTCAACCTATTATTTTGACATCATATCTTGAACCCCCCCTTCCAAGCCCTCCTCTGACCACCTGCTCAGCCAGGTGGCCTCTGGATGTACAGATGGCCTGGTGCAGGCCAGGGAGTGGGACGGCTCAGCTTCTCTGCTATTCAGGGAGTGACGGTCTGGGATTTTGAAACTGCAGGGACAGAATGGCTTCCCTAGTCTTTCAGGAAATGAGCCAAGAATTACCAAAGGCCAAAGAGTCATAGCAACAAAACACGTTGTCTTTGTGTACTGCAGGCCTTAGCCCTGCCTCACACTGTCTCTAGACGGTACTTTGGAAGATGGTAAAAATGACTGTTATTTCATGGCTAGGAAGAGAAAATGCCCCTTCACAAGAATTTTTGGCTTCCTAAAGTGGCAGGTGAGCCCTGAGTTGACCTAAGAGGAGGCAACAGGCAGATTTAATTTCCTGCTGTGGCAGAAAGGGAAAGTGACTCATGTGGGTTTGGGAGGCCTGTTGTCCATGATTGAGGACCAGGATAAAACCAGAAAAACAAACTCACTCCCATCAAGTCAGTTTCGACTCATAGCGACCTATAGGGCAGAGTCGAATAGCCCCATAGGGTTTCCAAGACTATAAATCTTTACAGAAGCAGACTATCTTTCTTTTGCAGAATGGCTGGTGGGTCCAAACCCCTCGCATTTTGGTTATCAGCCAAATGCCTTAACTATTACACCAGCAGAGCTCCTTTAGGACCAGGATAAACCCACTGCCATCGAGTCAGATCCAACTCATAGCAACCCCTCATTGGGTTTCCGAGGCGGTATCACTACAGAAATAGATTGCCCAACCTTCCTTCTGAGCAGCGGCTCGTGGGTTTGAACCGTCAGCCTTCTGGTTAGCAGTCAAATGCCTTTGGCACTAGGCTACCATATACCCCTGGAGTTATCCCTCTGAGTCCTGAGACAACCCCTGGCCAGATCCAAGTTGGAAGATGATAGACAAACTTCCCACCAAGTGCTTCACCAGTCAGAACTTTTCAGGGGATGGGGATGTATGGGGAGGTGTGTGTGTGTGTGTGTGTGTGTGTGTGAGATAGGGTGGCTAAAGGAAAACACTCTTGTGAGAAAGAAGACCCTATGGCCTGTGATACACGCCGGAATCCTAGGTCAGCTTTCTCATCGCACACACCTTCTTTTTTTTGTAATTCAGCCATACATGCTTATAAAGATATTTTAAATTTGACTAACTTTGCTAGGTTCACAGTATAAGTCAACTTTACAGATACTAGCTGTTTCACTCAGTTGGTAATTTTCCTTCTCCTAAGCTGGCAGGCAAGAATATCAATGAATATTTTCCCACAACCAGTTATGTTAAGAATTTTCACACAATAGATGCTTCTCATTTCCTGTAAGGTATTATGACCTCTCCAAGGAGGTCTATTTATTTAACTTCTATAAATATAACCACTTTATGCACTAGTATCTCCTTGAGAAAGGGCTTCTCAATTTACCGTCATAAACAGATGCCCGACTGCAGAGGAGGCTTCTGTCCAACAATGGGTTAGCTACTTTGAGTGAATCAATTTGTAAGCATGGGAGGGTGCTGTGTACCCCATCCCCACTACTCCAGTGGTCCCCCATTCTCAGAAATTGGCTGAGTCAGGAATCAACTAGGAGAGGCTTCAACCAGTTTGCATGAATGTTGGTCTGGGGATGTTACATTTTCTGGGAAACTGAAGGCTTGAGGGGGTGGGATCCAGGTTGACACAGGCATTTCTGAGGGATGAGGGGAAAGAAATCTCCTTTCCTAAGGAATTTCAAACCACAAATGTTAAGTGGAGCCCTATTTGCTCAGCTGTTGGGTGGGAGGTGCCCCTACCTCCCTGCCCCCACCTCCCTGCCCCCTCACCACCACCATGTGCAAAGTGAAGGGTGCAGCTTTCCCAGTAGACAGAGGAAGAGCATTCTTTGGTCAAGGGCATATTAGTTGCAACATCACCCTTGGGTGAGTTCTCAAGATCTATTTGTAGCATTAAAGCAGAACAGTTTGCTGGTATACTTGGGTTTTCTGTTCATCTTCAGTGCGCAAGAGCATAATCCAGTGAAGGCTTCCTGGAGCCTTTGTGATGAACTTGAAACAGCTCAGGTGCAGGAGTCCTCGGGCAGATTGCTTACTGTTTCTGAGACTCAGTTTCTTTAGTCACCTGTGTTACTAATGGATGGTGAGAAGATTTTTATGAGATTAAAAGCAACAAACCAGTTGTCGTCAAGTGGACTTCAGCTCTGACTTTTAGCAACCCCCTGTGTATTAGAGTGGAATCCACAGGATTTCCAATGGCTGCTTTTTCAGAAGTATCTCTCTAAGCCTTTCTTCTGAGGTGCCTCTGGGTGACTTGAACCCACAACCTTTCCCTTAGTAGCCAGATGCATTAACTGTTTGCACCACGCAGGGACTCCAAAAGAACACTTGCCGTCAAGGCAAATTTGGTCATGTAGTCAGAAGGGACCAGTCCCTGGAGAAGGATGTCATGCTTGGTAAAGTGGAAGATAAGCCAAAAAAGGGAAGACCCTCAAAAAGATGGGTTGACACAGTGGCTGCAATGATGGGCTCAAGTATAGCAAGGATTGTGAGGATGGTGCACAATTGGGCAGTATTTTATTCTGTTGAACGTAGGGATGTGATGAGTCGAGCTGACTTGATGGCACCTAACAACAACATCAAGGCATGAAGCCCTTGGGTGGTGCTATCAGTTAACATGCTTAGCTGCTAACAAAAGGTTGGAGCTTAGAATCCACCTAGAGGTCCTCAGAAGAAACGCTTGATCTACTTTGAAAAAATCAGCAATTGAAAGCTCTGTGGAGCAGATTTTTTCTGTGACACACATGGAGTCACCATGAGTTGGGGTCAACTTGATGACAGCTGGTTCTATGAGATAAGACATGAAAATGTGCTAAGAGTTTAGATTCTGCTCTACCAATGTTAGTACACAGTTTAAAATGTTCTTGGTATGTGTCTTACTCTGAAGAAACATTTAGCTCTTAATCTTACTTCTACTTCATCAAATGGCAGTGTTTCAAAGACAGTCATTCTTAGTAAAATCTGATCGAGTTTCCCATATGTAGTAAAAACGTTTTAATTGAAACCACGAGGATGGATTCCCTTTTGCTGTGGGGCTCAATCCTGATGGAGCCCTGGAACCACCTGAGAACATTGACCACTACAGACACCTGGGCCTTCCACAGACAATCAAGTCAGAATTTCTAGAGGTAGGGTCTGGGCCATCCATAGGTTTTAAACCTCCCCAGGTGGTTCTACTCTATAGCTAGGGCTCAGAGCCGCAAACCAAACCACACTGCCATTGAGTCGATTCTGACTTATAGAGCTATTATAGGACAGAGAAGAACTGCCCCGTAGAGTTTCCCAGGCTGTAAACTTTTCAAAAGCAGATTGCTTCATCTTTCTGCCACAGAGTGGCTGGTGCGTTTGAACTGCTGACCTTTAGATTAACCGCTAAATATTTAACTACTACACCACCAGAGTTCCTTTGAGAACCACAAGGGAGCAGAAAAAAAAAAAAAAAAATGGACAAGAGATGGTAAACCTGTTTGGCACCATAGATCCTCTGCTGAGTTTTACTCTGTACACATGGGGTCACCATGGTCATTACAATTAACCACCATGAAAGTTATGCATTTTGTGGTTAATTTGAATAAAGTGCCCCTTCTCCCAATTTTTCATCTTAAAAAAATTCTGCACTAGTGTTAGGTTTCAAAATGAAAACTGTTTCCTGACCTCTTGGCCTGAATCAAGCCCCGCTTCTCTGTGGACATGTTGCTAACACTGGTCTATATAAAACAACCACCACCAGAGCTCACAAGCAAACCAGCAGGCAAAGTTGGGCCTGTTAAGTCTCCTTCGAGGGGCACCTCAGTGAGGTGTGTATTACTCAATAAACAAGGTAACCAGGAGCTTGCCTGTGCTTATTTACTCATCTGTAATGAACTGTTGCACATGTTTTACTTACTGGGTACTCTGTCCCTGTCAGGGATTGTAAATTTGAAAAGAGGCTTTGATTCTGTAGAACGGTGCTGTAGGGTTGGGAGAGAGAAGGATGTCAGCCATACCTAGGAGCAGAATCATTCTTGTGGTGAAAAAATGAAATTACTCACTAATGATGAGTAAATAAGCACGAGGAAGCCTGTGCTTACCTGGCTTACTGGATAATCCACCCCTGCAGGTATAGTACAAACTCAAAACTCTCTGCTACTGCATCAGTTCTGACTCATAACGACCCCTGTTGGGTTCCCAAGGTGGTAAATCTGTACAGAAGTAGATTGCCCCATCTTCCTTCCATGGAACAGCTGGTGTGTTTGAACTGCCAACTCTGTTTAGCCTTATTTGCCATGCCACAGGAAAAACCAAAGGTTTTAAGTGTTAGAAAGGTGGCTCATGGGGGTTATGCTAATTAAGAATCAGACTGGCCCTCTGATAGGATGGGAGGAGTCCAGGGGTCTCACTGATTGAAACAAGTTGAACTACATTGATCAGGAAAGAGTCTTCACTTAGGTCCAGGAAGTGTCCACCTTCCCTGAGTCACTCAGCATTCATAGTTACTTTTCTTTTTATGTTGGTGAAAATATATATACCAAAACTTCTGCCAGTTCAACATTTGCCATATGTACCGTTCAATGACCTTGAATATGCTCATCATGTTGTGCGACTGTCACCAGTCTGTTCCCAATTATTCCCTGACCCTGAACGGAAACTCAGTGCCCCCTAAGCAGAGACTCCCCCAGAACATATAACAGCTCTGGCTAGACAGGAGAGTTGGAGGGATTCCGTCGGCAAGTCCTGCTCCAAAGGAGAGAATATCCCTTTCACGGTGACTTCCACCCCGCCCAGCCATCGGGGCCCTGCATGTACTGAACATCCACACACCTGTGCTGTAGTGCCAATGGGTGGTCCTGTCCCTTCCCTTTCAGATCAAGCTTTGGACTGGAGCCCTGTTTCTGAACAAATATAATGGAAAAAGGGAAAAGTGTTCTCATTTTCTTTTTCATTCAGGCTGCAGAAGTTTCATTCTTTGAAACCCTTGAATCCCAGAAGTATTGTGGTGAGGGAGAAAGAACATCACATCTTTTTCCACATTCTGTTTCTCTAGGAGTTGCATTTTTATAAGTGGACGCAAGAAATGAAAGGAAACCACTGTAAATCCAGACAACACCTCTCCCCAAAAACCAGTCTCCTGCATGCAGCTGGCCCCAGGGTCTGTCTTTAGTAGTCTGCTCCTTTTGCATTTCAAGAAGAGGCATAAAACTTTTGCTATTACCTGTTTTTGTCATTCTCCAATAATCCACAGCCTGAGAAACAGCTTTTCTGTCTTTCTTTATCATTACTGTGTTAAAATTTAGGTCCTTTATTATTAGATTTGTGTGTGTATGTGTAATTTTCTGTGAATACTGGCAGGAAAATTTGTTGGGTTTTTTGTTTTGCTATCAAGGGTCCCACCCCACAGGGCAAAACCCAGCTATTTGAGAACTATTTACAAGGAAAAGACACCTAGTTTTATTTGGGTGGGGGGAAGACAGGGGAAAAAGTCTTTAATTTGATATTTAAAAATAAATAAAAATTTATTTAAGTATAGGGGCCATAATACTTTCATTGGGTATATATAATAAATATAAATATTCAATTACTGAAAAACAGTTCCGTCATAAACTATTGCTGCTTAAAGAATGAGGAGTAAAGTAGTCTGAGGAGGGGAGGTTGAGGAAGAACAGCATGAAAGCCAGCAAGAATGGGGAAGGGAAAATGGCTCAGGGGAGAAATTAAGTTTAGATCACAGGAATGTTGTTGTTGTTGTGTGCCATCAAGTTGGACCCAACTCATAGCGACCCCTCCTTGGATTTCCGAGGCAGTATCACTACAGAAGTAGATTACCTAACCTTCCTTCTGAGAAGCGGCTGGTGGGTTTAAACCGCCAGCCTTCTGGTTAGCAGTCAAGTGCCTTAGGCACTATGCTACAAGAGCTCCTATCACAGGAATAGCAGCCACCATTTTAAAGACAGAAACAGGATGTGAGGTAAATTTGCTCCCCGAGTTCAATTTCTCTATATCCACATTGTTTATTTCTGCCATCTCATCTTGAAATCTTGAATTTGTGGTAGCTTTTGTTGTGGTCATTTTTGATGTATGAATCAGTGCAAATCATTTTCTCAATTTGTCTGAGTTGACTATATTGAGTCCAGGAGAGAACAGAATACCAACTTTGATTCCCCCCCTCCACCTCTGGCATTATCGTTAACTGGCCTGTTTTCTTAAATTTACCAAATCCCCAACACCTTGCCCGGTGCTTGGCATGGACCAAGTGCTCAGTGAAGTTCAACAACCAACTGTAGTAAAAGTTGCTCTGTGATTCCTCTGGCAGTCTGCTGCTTTGTCTCTGAGTGAGGACATTGCTTGCTTTTTTTCCCCAACCCATCCTTCCAGATATTTATTAAATAGTGACTTGCTATCATGAATCAGATACTAGGAACACTCAGGCAAGAAAATTTTGTCAGGTATGACTGTAGAAAGAAGGGACCAGTCTTTGGAGGATATCATGCTTAGTAAAATAGAAGATCAGTGATAAAGGGGAGAGCCTCAAGGAGATGGATGGACACAGTGGCTGCAGTGATGGGCTCAAGCTTAGCAAGGATTATGAGGATGGTATAGGACCAGGCAGTGTTTCGCTGTGTTGTATATATGGTTGCTGTGAGTTGGAGCCTACTTGATGACACCTAATGACAGCTGCAGAGGAAAATGTCTATGGAGCGTGAATCAAAGGCGTGGAAGTGTTCTGCCCTCTGCAGAGGAAAAGTCCTGGAGATCTGTGTCTGTAAGATTACAGCCAAGGAAACCCTATGAACCCTACTCTGTAACACATGCACTCTTCGTGAGTCAGATTCGACTCGATAGCATCCAACAACAATGTGAAAACTAGTTTTCCCTGAACTCCTAGTTTTTTTCAATTGAGGTGAAATTCCTATAACATAAAGTTAACCATTTTAAAAGGAGCCCTGGTGGCACAATGGTTAAGCACTTGGCTGCTGACTGAAAAGGTCAGTGGTTTGACCCCCCAGCAGCTCTGCAACTGAAAAGACCTGGTGATCTTAAGGACCTGCTCCTGTAAAGATAACAGCCTAGGAAACCCTACGGGGCAGTTCTACTCTGTCCTATAGGGTCTCTATGAGTTGAAGTCAAACTGATGGCACACCACAGCAATAAAAACTATTTGAAAATGTACAATTCAGTGGCATTTATTGCATCCACTGTGTTGTGCAGCCATCACCATTATCTAATTTCTAAAGGAGACCTGGTACCCATAAACAGTCACTCCCCATATCTCCTCCCTACAGCCCCTGGCAACCAATAGTCTGCTTTCTATCTCTATGGGTTACTGTTTGTTTTTTTACTATGGAGCTCTGGTAGCACAGTTTCTAAGGCATCTGACTGCTAACCAGAAGGTTGGTGGTTCAAACCTACTAGCCAGTCCTTGGAAGAAGATTGGGCAATCTACTTCCATAAGAGAAACTTACGGAAGTAAGCAACCCCAAGGAGGGGTCGCTATGAGTCGGGATCAACTTGACTGCAGTGAGTTTTAAAAGGAATGAAGGCATTCCATCCTATATGCTGCAATTTGCCTAAGGAACTCTGGGCATTCCATCAGATCCCGTGGTAGATTCTTCTCCCTCTCCTGGACTGGAAGACTGTGGCATGGAAAGGGTGAGTGGTGAGTGGGTAACTCACAGGAGGCAAAAATCAGTGTCCAGATGTGTCTGCAGTCATGACCAGTATCCTGATACCTCAGTGCTTTTCCTAGGTTGATTGGTTCTGATGTTATCCCACTCCCACATATCTATGGAGCGCGAATCAAAGGCGTGGAAGTGTTCTGCCCTCTGGACCCCCCTCCTCCATATGAAGCTGTTGTGAGCCAAAGGGACCAGGAGCAGGTAAGTCCACAGTTTCTTTCCTGTATGCTGACTGCAAGTAGGAAAAGCAGCGTGTCTCACCGAGAACAGTGGGGATCCTGGTCTTTAGTTCTCTCTCTCTTTACTGTGGTAAATACATTTACACACACACATACACACATATATGCGTATTACAAACCATCTTAGGCCAGATTCTCTAGCAAAACTAGAGAGAGACATTTATTTCAATGAAATGCCTCATGCATTTGTGGAGGCTGGCACATCCCAAATCCAAGATCAGGTGTTGGGCAGGAGGCTTCTCCTGACTCATGGTTGCAGGGGCTGACAGACCCATGGGCAGGTCAGGTGGCAGGCTGCTGACTCCCATCCCAAGAATTGGAGGTCAGATGCAGGGCTGAAAGAGAGAGAGAGAGAGAGAGAGAGAGAGAGAGAGAAAGTTTGCTAGAATACCCACAGATATAAGCATATCTCATTTTATTGAGCTTTGCAGATAATGTGTTTTTTACAAATTGAAGGTTTGTGACAACCCTATGTCTAGCCAAGTCCATTGGTACCATTTTGCCAACAGCATGTGCTCACTTCATGCTCTATGTCATATTTTGGTAATTCTCACAATATTTCAATCTTCTTTATAAGGTTATTGCACAGTTAATAGACTACAGTATAGTGTAAACATAACTTTTATATGTACTGGGAAACCAAAAATTTCATGTGACTTGCTTTATTGTAATATTCTCTTTATTGCGATGGTCTGGAACTGAATCCAAAATATGTCTGAGGTATAACTGTATTGGATGCAGACCACAATCCCAAGGAAAATCCTCTTCTATCAGATCACAAAATGGAGGATAATTATATAATACTAAGAATAAGACCTAGCCAAGTTGACACATAACATTAACCATGACACAAAACATTTATAATTCACCAACACTGATTACATTCATCATGTGGTACAACTATCACTATCCTTTTTCAATTTATTCCACCACCATTAATACAAACTCAGTGTCCCCTAAGCAATGACTCCCCATTTTCCCCTCCATCCCACTCCTGGTACCCACTAATAGCCTTTGGTCCCTATCTATTTGCATAGTCTAGGTATTTCATATAAGTGAGATCATATAATTTGTGGCCTTTTTGTCTGACTTATTTCACTCAGCATAATGTATTCAAGGTCCATCTGTGTTGTGGCATGTATCAGAGCTTTTTATAGTTGTTGACGGACATTATGGTATTCCCATATTTTGGCTATTGTGAATTACACTGCAATGAACATTGGTGTACAGGTTTCTGTTTGCATTTCTGTGTTCACTGCTGGTTATATACCTAGGTGTGGAACTGTTGGGTCATATGGTTGCTCTATGTTTAACTTGTTGGAAAACTACCAAACCATTTTCCATAATGGCTGCACCATTTTACTTTCCCAGCAGCAATGGATGAGGGTTCTAATTTCTCCACATCCTCCTCAACTCTGTGTGCTTTTAAGAAATTCACTGGACTCTAGATGATGGGTGGGTTAAATATCAGTGAAAACAACGCACCTTTTACTGTGCTGCAGGGATCTTCTTTCCCAGTGCCAGAAGGATCAGAAGCTGCTGCGAGGCCATTGGAACCAGTCTGCACACAGGTGACTGAAGGTAATAAATACACTGTTGTTGTTGTTATGTGCCGTCGAGTCAGACCCGACTCATAGCGACCCTTCCTTGGGTTTCCGAGGCAGTATCACTATGGAAGTAGATTGCCCAGCCTTCCTTCAGAGGAGTGGCTGGTGGGTTTGAACCGACAGCCTTCTGGTTAGCAGTCAAGTGCCTTAGGCACTAAGCTACCAGAGCTCCTAATAAATACACTATTGCTGCCCAATCTTGTGGGAACTGTTGATCCATCTTTTCAGTAGAATAAAACAAGGTAAAATAATGACCTGTATGATACTTAGTTGGAGGTCAGGTGTTCCTGGAGCAAATGGTTCAAGCTACATCCTTCTTTTCAAGTGCAAAAATATTATCAACGATTAGGGATTACAGGAGCCATGGTGGTACAGTGGTTAAAGTGCTCAGCTGCTAACTGACCCATCAGTGGGTTTGGACCCACCAGTCACTCCACGGGAGAAAGATGTAGCAGTTCTAGTCTGTCATGTAGGGTTGCTAATGAGTCAGAATCAACTCAATGGCAGTGGGATGGGTTTACTAGGATTTACAAGTGGGAGATAACATGTGAGGAGAAAAACATATCCTTAGCATATTTTATCAATAACCAAATTGTCTCAGGAACTTACAAGAGAGATTATAGAGTTTAATTTGGCATTACCATGTTTTCCAATTTCAGATTTTTCTTTTTCCTGTTAAAATAAGGTGGGCCCTTTTGAAGGGGAAAAAATAGTTTCATTTATTGCAAGGTGAGATTGTGCTGTGTTACTTATAAGCTAGGGCCCAGGTCATGGCGCTAGAACATGTAATGAATTCTGATTATCAGTCCTACATTAAATACTAGAGTCATTTTACATTTATCCTTGTAGTTTAAGGGAACATTATTACAGTTCTCTTTGGAAAGGTTTTAAATGGCCCAGAAAATTGTCCATCAGGACAGAATTGCAAATGTAATAAATGACAGATCAACTTTTAGCTATTTTAGGTGGAAGTAATTTTTTTGCAGTGCCATTGGGAATGGGTTTCCATTCTGTTTGCCTGCCATCTTAAGTGGACTTGAGCTGTCTTCTCCTTCTTAACTATGCTTGTAATTTTCCCACTTTTTAAAAAACTTTCCCAAACCACAACTCAGATTCACAAAGGATGTGATTTTATTTTCATGAGCAGAAGTCATCCATTTCCAAAGTGATCTTAATGATTCATGTAGTGGCCACTGGCTCTTTAGCTAGGCCGTCTAGGAGTTTCACAGCCCATCATGCACTCTGGGTTATGCAAATATCTCTTCTGCCAGCATTTGATCTACAGCTCACAGGGCAGCCTCTCCGCCTGTGCAGGTATTACCTTCCACCAAATGAAGCTTATCCCTGTGGCCCAGAAATTCCATTCCTGGGTATATACTTAAAAGAACTGAAAGTAGGGACTCAATCAGATAATTGTACGCTAGTGTTGATTGCACGTAGTTATTCACACTAGCCAAAAGGTGGAAACAACCCAAATGTCTATCAACAGATGATTGGATTAAAAATGGTGCATCTATGCAATAGAATATCATTCAGCCATAAAGAGAAATGTCGTTCTGGTACATGCTATAATACAGATGACCTTGAAAATATTATGCTCAGTGAAATTAGTCAGACACAAAAGGAAACATATTTTGTGATTCCACTTATATGAAATAACTAGAATAGGTAAACACATAGAGACAAAGTTTATCAGTAGTGACCAGGGGCGGGTGGGAGCAGGGAATGGGAGGTACAGCTTAAGGCACGCGGAGTTTCTGCTAAAAGTGATGAAAAACATTTGGAAACAGATAGTGGTGATGGTTGCTCAACACGTGGAATATAATTAATGTCACTGCATTGTACACGTGGAAAAAAATGGTTAAAATGGCAAATATCCAGCTCATTCTAAATTGTCAAAAACTTTCTAAAACAGCTCAAACAACAACAACAACAAAACCCCAAACTCACTGCTATTGGGTTGATTCCAACTCATAGAGACCCCCATTTGGTTTCTGAGGCTGTATATCTCTGCGGAAGTGGATTGCTCCATCTTCCTTCTGTGGAGCAGCTGGTGGGTTTGAACCACTGACCTTCTGGTTAGCAGCCAAATGTCTTATCTACTACACTACCAGAGTTCCTTTAGTGGTGCAATAGGATGCTTCATTGGAGAAGATTCTAAGCACCTTTAGGAAAAACTGACAGTTTGGTAAGGCTTCTTTATTTGCTTCTTAGTTTTAAAGGGTTGTTTGTTTGTTTTAGGTGTGGGAGGGTGGCTTGGGAAGGCAGATCTTCCCACAGTGCTGGGAAATAAAAATGCATCGGGCAGGAGCCTCCTGGGCAGGTTTGGTCACACAGGTGTTTTCTGCCCAGCATTTTGAAGACTGCAGCTGGAAGAATAATTTTTGTTTCTCCTCTTAAAAAAAAAAAAAAAATCAGGTGGGGACATTCCTAACACACCTGGAGAAGCAAGCACGTCCGTGTCAACCCCTAACTCAAGCCTGACGCATCCTGCAAGAAGCTGGAGACCCATTCAACCCCTAAGGACGAGATCAAAAAGCGACCCTGTGCTCCGTCATTCCGCAGACAGAGGTGATGTCATTCCCCAAGCCCTTCACTGAGCACTATGCTTTTTCCCCTAAAGGGGCCAGGTGGGAGCAGGTAGCTAAAACCAGTTGTTGGCCAATCGATTCTGACTCCCGGTGACCCTGTGTGCTGCAGAGTAGAACAGTACTCTGTAAAGTTTTCAGGTCTGTGACCTTTTGGAAGCAATGACCTTTTGCCCTTTCTTCCAAGTGCCTCTGGGGGGTTCAAACTGCCAACCTTTCAGTAAGTAGTTGAGTGCTTAATCTGTGTGATCCTGGCCAGCCCAAGGCTCTGCATTTTAAGAGCTGTCTTGAAGAGGTTAAGAGATCTTGGAAAATTAACATAGTCTACATGATATTCAATATCGGGGCCGACTCAACGGCACATAACAACAACAACAACACATGATATTCAATATGCACATTAGGAAAACCTGCCACATCCTTTAAGCGTTTTCTTTTCATCATTGTCATCAAAAGCATTTGGTTGAATGTGCTACTGTGCTAGGTAGGGACCACACAAAGAAAATTACATAAACCTAGTTCTCAATTTCTAAATACTGTCCTATGTTGTTGTTGTTATGTGCCGTTGAGTCAGATCCGACTCATAGTGACCCCTCCTTGGGTTTCTGAGGCAGTATCACTACTTTCCTTCTGAGGAGTGGCTGGTGGGTTTGAACTGCCAGCCTTCTGGTAAGCAGTCAAGTGCCTTAGGCACCATGCTACCAGAGTTCCTCATTTTATGAATAAACCTCATTTTATGATAGAAAGAAACACATGCTCACTTATTCCACCTAGCTCTCTCTCCGTTTTGAGTTTGTGTGTATGTAGATTTTTTTTTTTTTTAATAATTCGGGATTTAAAAATAACGTTGAGTCTTTTCTCTGAATATATGAATGCCTGAACATCTTCCAGGTATCTTTTCAGGGTAGAAAATGATTAACAATAGAGAATATAAAGGAAGAAAAGGAAAATCTTCCGTAATCCTGTGAGCATGGGCTTCTTTTTGTGAACTGACAGGTGACCTATGATTTACTAAAATTATCCAAATAAAACTTTGCACATCCTCTAACCCTCCTTTCTCCTGGGTCTTGGCTGGTGCCTTTGCCATCTCTGCTCCGTCCCTCTGACAGCATGTGTTGGCTGTAGCTCTGGACTGACCATGCGTGAGCCACAGAGAAAACTCCTCCTGCCTCTGCAGTGGCCTCAGTGGGGTGCCACCATCTGGGACTGAGTCTAACAGCTCTGCTACCTCTGCAGCCCTGGCAGCCAGGCCTCTCAGATTCCTGAGGCCCATGTTCACCATGAGTCTCCTAAACCCAACCTGGTGACCAGAAGACTCAAGCTGGCCACCTGCCAGCTCCAATGGGCACTTAGTTCTCTGCACAGCTTAGGGAGACTTCTCTGAAACCTTCTCCCATTCTGGGCGCTGCAGGGGTGAAGATGACACTGTACCTGTGTGAACCCTCTGCTTTGGAAGGGACCAGATTGCCTTCAAGTGAATGAGTGTAGGCCCTTACTCCATCCTCGCACATGAGCATCTTTGGCAAGCATTTCTGGAAGACTCTGGGTCTCAGTGAACCTGGCAGCCAGGAAGGATGGCCTCTGACCCTGGTTTAGAGCTCATATCTCTCTTTCTCCAAAAGAGAAGGAGCGTGCCCTGTTCTCCCACCTCCGGCTTCCTCTCTTCCTTCAATATTTAAGTTCCTGTTTCTCAGGCCCTTACAGACTGACATCACCAGTGTTGGACATGCTGAAGGCTGCTGGCTGCTCTGTACACACAGAGAACAGGCCCGAGTTCCTGTCACCCACTTCACAGGGTAGTAATGTTCTGCTGGGCCTCACACTGTGGACCATTAGAGTCTCCAGGGTTAAAGAAGTGGATTTCCCAGGCCCTCTGTTGACTTCTGAAATGACATTTAATGTTTCTACACTTGTTTTCTCTTTGTGTTATAATCAGTCATAGACCTACCTCACAGCCATGGCTTGAACACCGATAATATAAGTCAGTAAAATGCCCTTGAGGATGTTTAGGACAAAGGTATGGTCCAAGTGAGCAGAGCATTGTTTCCACCTCACAGGTCTTGTCTGTCTCCCATCCTTTCCTGTCTTCAAGAAGCAATTTCATCCTCCCCACTTTGAACATTCTTTCACTGGCCAACCATGTTTTTTCCCCATCCATTCCCATCTGTTTGCTGGTACCTGTTTCATTGTTGCTCTGTTATAATTTGCATTCAGGATGCTCTTCTTTCTCACCTATCTTTATCTTGGGGGCTATGTTTTATGTAACACAATAAAATGTTTTGGGACATGTTCTATTGGAATGACATTTCAGGAAATGAGTTTGTATCATAGTTTTTGTTTTTTCCTTCTGCAAAAGGAGAAGTGAGATATGCATGGCTGTTGGCATGTGTCAGATGCTTTCCATGATGAGTGTGGTGGCCTGTGCTGTTTCGGGTAAAGACACGGGTTGAGGGCGCTTGGCTAATGGGTAATTGCCATTTGTCTCTGCCTGCAGCCACCCCTGTACTTAGCTGTGAAGCTGCGACTCAGACAGAAGGAAGGCTGGATCTGGCTGCGGTGACTTTGAGAAGAGGCTTGAGATCCCGAGCTTTGCGACCCAGACCACAGTCTTTAGTAGATTACAAATCCTACATTGACACCAAACTGCTGGTGGCGAGGTTCCTGGAGCAGTCTTCCTGTAGCATGACGCCCGACATCCACGAACTGGTAGAAAACATCAAATCTGTTTTGAAGTCTGATGAGGAACACATGGAAGAAGCCATCACAAGTGCCAGTTTCCTAGAGCAGGTAGTTTTATTATTAATATTGGCCCTGAGTCAGTAACTGGTTTCCATAGCAACTTAAGCTGCTTCCCTCATTTCCTGTCCAAGGCAGAATAAGTTCATGGTCATGATCTCAAGGGAATGGGGTTAGCAGGTCAGGGAGAGAGAGAGAGGCAGCCAGAGAGCTTTGCTTTTAGGTGTGGTGACTTCTCTGCAGCATTCTTGGATCAAGGAAAGTGAAACCAGCTATTCTGGGATGGAGAAGCATGCCTGGAGAAGGAAATGGGCTCCTTGGGAATAAAAGCAAGGGATATGGACCATGTGGAGTGCATTCAGAAAAAAAAAAAAAAAAAAAAGAAGAAGAAAAAGAAAACATTTCTTTTCCTAAATTGAATGTTCCCCTTGATCTGGCATGCTTTTTCAGCCCTTTGAAAGGGACATCCATGATTTTAATATTGGCAAGATTGGAGCTCTTCACATACCTGTGTGAAATGTTTGGCAAAATAAACACCTTTTCCTTTCCCTAAATAAAAATGCAGGCAATCCCTTAAACTGAAGCCACCCAAATGAAAAGATAAAATTGGGCCATTCCTCTGAAGGAAGGTTGGGCAATCTTACTTCTGTAGTGATACTGCCTCGGAAACCCAAGGAGGGTTCGCTAGGAGTCTGGGCCGACTCGACGGCACATAACAACAACAACATAAATCCATTTGGATTTCAGATGTCTCATTTTTAAAGCAAAGGGCTGCCCTGGGTGGTCTCTAAACCCTAATCCTATCTCATTAACATGAAAAACAACCTACTCCTGCCTCATTAACCACAGGCAGAGATTAGGATTTTCAACACACAGGACAGTTACATCAGATCACACAATGGAGGACAACCACACAATACTGGGGATCATGGCTTAGGGAAGTTGACACATATTTTTGGGGGGGCACAATTCGATCCATGGCAACAGTCAACTTCTATGAATGTTAGGATTTTCTTCTTAATCAGGAGACAAGATCAGCTCTTAAAGGCAATAGAATGATAAAGTGTTAACAATGTGTGTGTGTGTGTGATTTGGGTGAAAGTTTACAGATTGGTTTTCCAGTCATCAATTCAGACACATTTTGTTTTGTGATATTCACTGCATTCCCCACAGTGTAACAGCACTCTTCCCACTTCTCCCTGTGTTTCCCATTTCCTTCCATTCTTCTCTTCTGTCCCTTCCCACTTCTGGGCTTTATCCCTGGGCACAATGCTAGTGTTAGCAAAATTTTAATAGTTTAAGGGATAAACCTTTTCATGACCTTAAAAGTTCTGAATGACACTAGGAAAACATCATCAGAAGGATTGTTCTGTGATGTTAGATGGTAATAAAGTACAGGAGTTCTTCCCAGGGTACTAACAGTGTCATAAGGAGCCCTGGTGGATAATCACTCATCTGCTAATGCAAAGGTTGCTGGTTCAAACTCACCCAGTGGCTCCATGGGAGAAAGATTCCGAGTAGTTTCTGACTCATAGAGACCCAATGAGACAAAGTAGACTGCCCCACAGGGTTTCTAACACTGTAATCTTTACAGAAGCAGATCTTTCTCCTACAGAGCAGCGGGTGGGTTTGAACTGCCTACCTTTTAGTTATCCACTGAGTATTTAACTACTGTACCACTAGGGCTCTTTACTTCGTTATAATCCCAGACAAGCAGTTCTCAAACTTTAAAGTGTATCAGAATCACCTGAGGTTCTTGTTAAAAGGATGGATGCTTGAGCCCCACTCCAGACCCATAGTGTCAGGATTGCTAGGGGTGGACGCTGGGACCACATTTCTGACAAGACCTCGGGGTAACTTGCAGACCCCAGTGAGAATCACTGGCTTAGCCTACAGGGAAATTGGAACAAGGGGATGAGTTGTTGTTGTTGTTTTGTGCCATCAAGTTGGTCCCGACTCATAGCGACCCCTCCTTGGGTTTCCAAGGCAGTATCACTACAGAAGTAGGATTGCCCAACCTTCCTTCCGAGGAGTGGCTGGTGGGTTTGAACCGCCAGCCGTCTGGTTAGCAGTCAAGTGCCTTAGACACTGTGCTGAGAGGAGTGCTAAATATACAGCAGGAAATTGCAATAGGTGAATCAGTTAAATCTGGCGGATATGCAATTGAAACAATAGAAAGTTCAGGAAATTCCAGAACAATGAAGTCTTTCTGCTTTCCTCTGATGCTGCTGTTCTTAGGGAGCCTTTGGGTGGTGGAAGTAGTTAACACACTTGCTGCTAACCAAAAAGTTGGTGGTTTGAGTCCACCGAAACCTTGGAAGAAAGGCCTGGCTAGCTACTTCCCGAAAACTCAGCCATTGAAAACCCCGTGGAGCCCAGTTCTACTCTGACACGCGTGGGGGGGTCTCATGACTCACAAGTGACTTGACGCCAGCTGATTTTTCTTTCTTTCTTCTGTTGGTTTATTATTCTTAAGAGACTTTAGAAAATAAGTTTTTGTGTTAAAACTATTTCTGGAATTTTGAGTGTCTTCCACTTTGGGAAATCACCGTTTTTTTCTTTCCCAAAGCGACTAAACAATAAGATCATGGATAGATATAGGAAGCAGGTCAGGGTATTTTTGTGAAGCTGAACCTCTCCCCACCTCCTCATTCTCCCAAAGATAATGGCCCCGCTGCGGCCCAGCACTGCCAGGGCCCAGCCACTGCCCCCGCGGAGACAGCCTGGCCTGCTGCACCTGCAGAGCTGTGGAGACCTGAGCACCTTCGTCCCCGCAGAGAGGCCAAGAGCTGGGAGGAGGCCCCGGCGAGCAGAGGCTGACCGGCCCCACAGCCTCATCGGTGTCATCCGAGAGACAGTGCTGTGAACCTGCAGGGCCAGGTTCCCCGTCCACCTGCAGAGCAGGGAAAGAGGAAGAGAGACGGACCCTGGAAGCCGGGAGCCACTCCAAGGGGAAGGAACCCCTTCAAGTATTCCTCACCATGCAGCTTCGTGGCTGGGAGTGTGGGGTGGGGTGGGGTTTGAGAACCTCAAAAAAAGGGACACTCCCGAGAACATTCGTTCCCACTCTTGGGCTCACAGTTTTGCTGACCAAGAACATTTAAGAGTGAATGAGTTCTTTCCGACCCATGTGGTCTTCGGAGGTATCTTGTTGGAGGATGCGAGGCAGGGATTTCTCCGTTCTCTGCCAGTCTCACAGAATTCCTGAAGGCCCATGCTCTGGTGAGGCTTTGCCCACCTCACTCCTCCTGTCTGTCTGTATTGTCGAGTTCTTTCCCTCGTTAGAAAGACAATGCTGTGGGGCTGCTGTTCATAGCTGCCTGCTGCCTTTCAGTGCTGGGTGAGAGAGGAGCTGGTGTCGATCCATCCATCCATCCGGGATAAGTAACCCCCATGTGGCCTAAGCAGTCAAGCTTCATTTTAGGTCACCCTCAAATCACACTCTTTAGGAAAAACAGGAAACTTTGTGACAAATTTTAATGAAAGACGTTTAGGGAGAAAAATATTGTTGATTCCATTTATTCATGCTTGCAAAACTAGAGATAGCTAAGGCAGAACTGGGAATAAAAATGTTTACTTTGGACCTGTGGGCTAAGTGTGCAACATTTGTTTATGCCGATGTAGACCGGCTTTACCTTAAGTGGGGTCTGGAATGTGGCTCCCTTATCTCAGGGAAGCAGGGCAGGGCAGGTTCCTGGGTTGTTGTGTGCTGTCGTCGAGTCGGACCCGACTCCTAGCGAGCCCTCCTTGGGGTTCCAAGGCAGTATCACTACGGAAGTAGGTTTCTGGGTAAGCACACCAAAAACAGAAATGAAAGTTGCCACTGAGTTAGCTCTAGCTCTTGGTGACCTGTGTGGGTGACCCGTGTGGGTTAGAGTAGAGAGGCCCTCCATGGGGTTTTTAGTGGCTGATTCTTCAGAGGTGGGTCACCAGGCCTTTCTTTGGAGACAGCTAGGTGGACTTGGATCTCCAACCTTTTAGTTAGCAGCTGAGTGGGTTAACCATTTGTACCACCCAGGAGCTCCAGACGACCCACATAGTCCAGTCTAATTACTTTTCTCCTTTACAGCTGCTTATCTGTTCCCAACCTACTTTTTGTTGGTTAAGGACCAGAAGCACTCAGCTGAGGGTGAGAAGGCACTGACCTTAAGTTACCCAACTCAAGTGTGGCCACTTTCTCACCTTTCCAGACTTGTGTTTCCTTCTCACCCCAGAAAGGCGTTTTCTTCCAGGTGCATCCCCTTCTACTGCCTCCCATGCCCTTCCTGCTCACCCCCAGCCGCCACAGAGTTCCTCACTCCGTACCTGGAAGGCCCAGGGCAGAGAGGTTGGGAGCCCCACGTGTGGACAGTCTCTGGCTTCCAGCTTTGGGGGAACAGTTGGAGGGATGGCTTCAAACATCCCAGGAAGGAGTAATTACCAGCAGCAACTGGAGAGGAAGGGGGAAGGGCATAAAACCTGTGGGCATCACCTAGATGCATGTCATGAGGAGGAAGTGGGGACCCGTCCCAGCCTCCTAGGTGGACCCTGCTGCCTGGGGACTGTCATGTGCTTCCAGGATCTGAAGGTGAAGTCAGAAAACTGAGTTCTGTCTTGTTCTCCAGATTTCAAGGAATATTTAAGCATTAGGTATGCTGCCTCGGGAGGGAATTTAGAGGTCGTGTGAGTCATTTCCCTGTTAGTTTGTATGTGTGGTAATATGCTTTTAAAATGTCATCGCTATGTGCAGTTCAGTGGATTCCAACTTCATAGCAACCCTGTAGGACAGAGTAGAATTGCCCCAAAGGGTTTCCAAGACTGTAAATCTTTATGGAAGAGATCGCCAGGTTTTGTCTCCTGTGGAGCGACTTGGTGGGTTCAAACTGCTGACCATTTGGTAGCCAGGACCTTAACCATTGCACCGCCGGGGCTCCTTGTTTTTAAATACTTAAGCATTAATTGTGTGATGTACGTGTGCAGACCTTAACTTACGCTACATGGGGAGGGCAGCTGTTTTGCATTTGGTTATCAAAATGGCTCCGAAGGCTGAGTAGTGAGCATGAGATGTATTAGAAATAAGTTTTCACTGATGAAATAAGTGATGTTAAAATATAGGGTTGGCTAGAAAGGCTGGTGCCTTTCATAGCTGTCATATCTGTGCACCTATGCAGCTTAAGAATCTGGTGACCATGAGACTGTCACAGGATGGATGACGACACTGGCTACTTCTTCAGAATGCTATGGCCTTGCCTTAACCTTTTAAGCAAGCTGCATGCGAGTGCCTGACGACAGAGAACTGGACATTCTTGTAGGAAAACAAGGTCCTTACCCCTGTCACGAACAGCCAATGATCGCAACAGGTGGAAGCAGGAAAACAAAAAGTTTATTGAGTATCGATACCCAAGGAGACAGACAGAATCAATTTTCTAAAATGTCTGTCTCCTCGAGCAGGGGGTCAACATGATTATACAGGGAGATGGGAAGGAAGTTGAAGATCCCTTGGACTGCCAGGAATGTCTTTGTTCTTCTCTTCCCTGGTTACTCCAGACTCAGCATTCTTCTTCCCAAGGTCGTCTTGCTTCATAGGTTACTGTTCTCAGCCAAAACCAGTCGTGGGAGAGAGTTATGTTTAAAAGAATACTTAATTGAAAATAACGACTCTAAAGAACTCACTGTCCGTTAAGAGGTTGGCTATTCTATTTCCTTAAAAGAAAGCAAAAGGGAGGGAGAATTTGCAGGTCAGTCACTGTGATTGATGTATACTTTAATCACACCTGCGAGTCTGTTAAAGTTCTGTAATTTTCAGCGAGGGGCCCCTTTCACCTTCCACTTCAGTCTTCCACCTTCTCAAGGATATGAAACTCTTCTGTGCAGACTTGCTAATCAGTGTTTGGGCTTGACAGGGAGAATTGCTGGAAGACTTGCTTCTAGGAACTTCCCACCCAATGGTGAGGCTTCAGAGAGGGGTTGTGCAGCTCCTAGTTGCCCGAGGCTGCCCATGTTTACCAGGACAACCAGGCATTTACTGAATGGCCAAACTGGCCTGGTCTGATCACTCTACCCCTTAGTTTGCAGGTGAGGAAACTGAGGCTTGGAGTTCAGAGCAGAAGCAGACTAGCACTTTGACTCCTGTGGACCAGAACTGTTGGTCCAGCTCGGAGCTTCTTTAACTATTTGGGAGGAAGGACAAGTTTCCTCTCCTAATCTGTCACAGACCAAGTATTTTAGAAAAATACAATAAACTGAGTTACTAGGAAGATGGAATGATAATAAAAAAGACATACAAAATACCACCCCCCCTTTTTAATGATACTCAGCAGTCACAAAAGTTCTCTATCAAGTTAACATTTCACAATGCCTATGCTCATTTTCTGAATTTATGCTCATCAGAGACCAGGAACCAACTGTTCTTGTCTCGGGTTCGCAGCCCACAGCTGGTCTGGGTGCCCACTCTAGCCCGTGTCTCCATTTCATTTGAGCTTGCCTGTGAGGTAGGCCCTGGGGACAGTGATGAAAAAGATCCAGAGGAGAGGTGGGCAGGAACCCTTCCTCTGCACACACATCGCCAAGGCCGCCTTGAGCCAAGGCTCGCACTTGGGGAGAGAAAGGCCCACGCTGCAGAAGTCGAGGGTTTTGGCAAGTCCCTCAGGATTAGGCAGAACTGGCAGTGGAAAGAGTCAGCTGCTGGCAGGTCTCCAAGCTGAGAGGCATTCTGGAAACAGAACAAAAGAGCCCATCTCACCTCCCCTCAGGCACAATGAGGGGGTGAGGGAAAGGGCCCAACAAGGCCTCTTTGTTTCTGTAGTGTTTCCCCTGGGGCTGGCCACCCTCTGGCTTCCATGCAAGGGAAGCCAAGTCTGGGGCCAAAAGACATCACATTTCTTCCAGTTCTCTCTCCCCGCAGGAGCATCCATCCTCTTAGTCATCCATCTGTATTTATTATAGAGTATTTACACACAGTGCCAGGCAGCAAGCGGGCCAGGTGCTGAGGAGAGGACACGGAGCATGGAAGGGAGATTGCCCATAAATAAACACAAGTCATCAGTGCAAAGTTACATTTGTCTTAGCTGTTGAAGAACTGCTCCCAGGCCCTGAGGGGTAGGAGGTGCTGCATGCTCTCTGGGTTGTCTCTGGAGACCAGCTGGCCTGAGCATGTTTACGCAGAGACTGGTTTGAAGGGATTTCTCATCCTTGAGACTGAAACAAGTCCTGGTCACTGAGGCCTCGGAGTGAATCTCTGCAGATCAGTTGGTGGCCAGAGGCATTTTGCCATCTTAGGGGGCCGCAGAACAACTCTTCGGAGTGGGGCCAGTGTGCCCCTCGCCCAGGCTTGTCGCATTTCCAGGGTTTTGAGCAAAGGAAAGATTGATCAGACTTTACCATGTTAATCACTTTGCTCTGACCCCTGAAGGGGGTGGGCACAGGGCAAGGAAGGAAACAGGAGACAAAGGTGAGAGATGATGGTGGCTGGTTCTAAAGAGGACCAAGTGGAGGTCATGAGATGTGGTCCATTTCAGATGTGGCACCTGCCAAACCACTTGTGTCCAGTAGGTGGTGCTGCTGACTTTAAGACAAGGAAATTACTTACCCTTGTAAGTTTCTAGCCAATTCTGAGGTTGTCTGTTGGTTGCCCTGGCAATCCCATGGCAACCCGGCCTGTTACAGAGTATAACTGTGCTCCTGAGGGTTTTCTTGCCTGTAATCTTTTTTTTTTTTAAACCCTTTTCAAATTTCTCCATTTTTTTTTTAAGCTTTCAATTTCCTAAATTACATTCTAAAATTGAAAAATCAGTGTTCAAGAGCTTAATCTGTGCTTCATTCAGTATGTTAGTGTTGTTGTTAGGTGCCATCGAGTTTATTTCAATTCACAGTGACCCCCTAGGGTTT